TCTCCCGGGGCCGGCTGCCCGCCCCGCTCCGCGGTGCCTGGGTGCTCAGCCAGCTCCGGAGCTGGCAGGGAGCCCGGTCTGCTTTGGGGTCACCGGGTGCTGGCCCGCCTGGGGCAGGCAGGCCGCGGTAACCGGCTGCCCAGGCTGCTCCGGGGCGGGCAGGGCGCCCAGCCCGCCTGGGGGTCGCGGCCTGCTTCGGGGCGACGGGGTGCCTGGCTGCTTCGGGGCCCTGCAGGACGCTGTCACCGGGTAGGGCTCTCCCCTCCCCGCAGCAAGGGCGTGTGCGGGGAGAGCTTTGCGGCGAGCGGGCCTGTCTGTACAGGAGCGGGAGTGGAGGAGATCTGCTGAAACGTGGGAAGTCTTTCATGTTTCTGGAGCAGAGGTTTGGCTGCGGGGATCTTAGAGCACCCTGTGCCTTGAGGAGAGCCTCTGCGCTTCGCTTTTAATGAGTTAAAGTCGATTTGCCTTCTCAGTCCTGTCAGCCAAGCATAAGCAGGCTCCAGGGAGGACTTCTGAGTTGTTCTTTGGCCGTGGGAAAATGAAAAGCTGCAAAATGTGGCTTTGGGGGTAGTCTGGGAACGCAAAGGCTTATTTTTATGCCTTCCTCTTCCCCTCCGGTTGAATCAGGTGATAATGTTTACTGAGCCAGAGCTGAAAGTCAGGTAGAAGACGTGGCGTGGTCCATGCCAGGGTTGGGAATGGCACTGTAAGCCTCCCTGGCGGGGAGAAGCTGCAGCCTTCCTGTTGCTGTCTCACATACAGCTACAAACCAGCTTTGGTTTTTACCTCTTTTCTTTCTTGGTTGCTTAAAATTCCCACCTTAGTCTTTTCCTGGAGGATTTTCCAAAGCTTTTAACCTTCTTATCTCCCTCTGGGACTGATGAAGAGGGCTGTCCTGCTGCCAGAGTCACTGGGCATCCGTATCTGTTTGTGGGCTCGTTCCCCGATGAGCAGTGACATCTTCCTGGTGATTTCATTTTGCAGCAGAAATTTCAAAATTGGGCGAAATTTCTCATTAGATTGCATAATCGCTCCATTTTTTTCCCCTCTGATGTTTCCTGTCATCCTTGGATTTGGAGGCTTGAAAGCTAGTCAGTGCTGAGAGGAGGATTAAAAAAAGGAAGAGGTGTCTAGACCTTTGAAGGTGGCAACACTGTGGCAGTGTTACATTCAGCCGTGCCTTCTGGCTGGTGAAGCATTGCACAGATAGCCAAACTGGCTGCTTTGCATCACACCAGATAGGAACAGGCGGAGGGTAAGTGATGCAAGCGCAGACTTCGCAGAGTCCTTTCTCTCCGTCGTAGGGTTATGTTATTAACAGGATCTATATACTATTTATAACCTCAGCTGCGCTTATCGGCACGTATGGCTTGTCTTTCCTCATAACATCCACCCGCCTCAGTCCTTCTTTATTTGGATAGTTTTAGGATCTGTAATTGAGCCATGGCCTGTGAATCTGTTTCTGTTTAGCATTGCTGTAATCTATTCTGAAGTATTATTCGCTGTGTGCAGTCCCTCAGGGAGAGAGGAGTGAGAAATCGGAGAGCGGTCAGCAAACCTGAGAGTGCCGGAGGATGTGGGAGAGAGCTGTAACTTGGCCTGAAGTATTTACTTCTTAGGGACGATGGTGGGAGGGGGGTGGGATATAGATCTGCTGCTCCCTGGGGCTGTAAATATCCAGCGGGGAGGAGAAGGTCTTTGAAACAATGGAGTCGCTTAGGGAAGGGAGTGCTCTTCCTGGGGCCAGGAGCCCCATTTTCCGTCTGGGTGCTTCAGTCTAGTTTGCTGTGAAAAGCTGCCGTGTGGATGGGAAGATAGGCAGGCTGACCTTATTTTCAGTTGCTGAAGTGGAAAGTCTGGTTTTATCTCCAGGCAGTTTCTCCTGGTCCTAACCTTTTAAGTAAAAAGTAGGATATCTAAGTAGGATACACAAGTGGGTTTGTTCTGGGAGACGGGGGCTCGCCCGTCCCTGGCCAGGGATGTGTGTAGTGCAGGTCTTCGGAGTCATGCGCTCTCAGTAACTGCAGCCACCCATGGTAAAGTCCCGGAGCCTGACTGCCCCACAGACGAGCTGACTAGACCTGCTTGTCAGGAGAGCACAGCTTTGGCATTCCCTGCGTGTTTTTCTTTTGCTTGTACCCCTTCTGCGTCTTTACCGGTCTTTGCCTGGCTTTGGCTCACCTGCTTTCACCTCCGGGCTGTGTGTAACGCGTTAACTGTGCCTGTCTGTCCCATGCTATGCAGTTGATTGTACGGCCGCTCCAGCAGTCTCCTGGCAGCACGTTGCACGCACTCGGTGTGATCGGGGGGCAAATATCTCAGCCTGACGGTTCACTTGTTGCCTCGGTAGATGGCTCTTCCCGATCATTGGCCACATGGGTATCTGCACGTCGACTGGAGTCATCCGGGACTTCGCGGGGCCATACTTTGTCTCAGTAAGTAGACGAAGGATCTGGGTGCTTAAGCAGAATCTGTGCTCGGTCTGCTTCTCACCTTCGTCGGTGACTTTTGGGCCAACCCCTGTCTTTTACAGTTCAAAGTTTTACAACGTAATGGCTCAGATGTTTCTGAAGATCATGGCTCTTTGCTATTGCTCTGTGGGCTGCTGTCCAATGGAGTTCGTTTGGGGGATATGATAGATAGTGGCCAGTTTGGTGAGCAGAAGGGAAAAAATCTTGTCGTCCAGGCTCTTAACTGGGAATTTTGTACCTAAATCCTCTTAATTCTGAGTAACAGAAGCTGCCTTCCCACTTCCTCAGCACGCCTGTTACTGTCATGCTGTTTAGCATCAGGTATGTGCTAGTCTTCTAAACTGCTTTATAGTCTGGTGGATTTTGAAAGTAAGGGAGTTTTACGTTGGGATAATTAATACTCTTAATAGATTGGAACACTTACAACTTTGAGTTAACTAGATATTAATAGTTAAAAAAAGGGGGGGGGGGGGGGCGGGGAACAAGGTACATAAAGCTAGATGATGTCACCCTGTACAGAGTATAAATATACTCGGGCCCAGAACAGGAGTACAAAACCAATTGAAATCTAGATCTAGACACACAAATAAGATTGGTGTCTCGAGACTGCTGAGGCAATGTGACAGTTTTATCACTAAGCGATGGCAGGCTGTGAGGCCTTCCAGCAAGAGGCATGTCATGAATATTGCGCGGGGTTATCCTCTTGAGACGTTTTTCTTTTTTTGTAGGAAGACAACATGGCATTTGGGAAGCCAGTGAAGTAAGTGCTCTTGTTAGTTTTTATTAAACTAACCAACTGACCTGCAGATGTCCTTTAATTCATGGAGACAGACATGCTATAATATTGCTTTTCTTGTTGTTCAGATGCCCTAATTCAAGTGGATGGCTACTGTGTCTCTGCTTTTCAAGAAACCACGTTAAATTAAATCTTTTTAGAAGCGTGACAGCAATGTATAATGAGAGCTGTATGGAGCCTTTATTAAAAAAAAAAAGAAAAGGCTAAAACATTTTAAAATAATGTTAACAACAAGTGCTCCAAGTAAATACTGCCTGTGCTGTACTAATGAACTGTCATCCCCCACATCCTGTTAATGATTTTCTGCGGGGAGGAGGAGAGGTGCCTGGGTTTTGTGTATCTGTCAGATCAGGTTTACGTTTTGAATGGCCTGAAGGTTTCACATCACGGGACGTGAAAGCAGTTTCAGAGTTCTGTCTGCACCCCTGAGGCCTGCAGTTTCTCTCTCTGGGGTGCTGCCGGGCTGAGGGTGCTGAGCATTAGTTTCTGCTGCCCTCTGCAGCATGCACTTGTCTTGAAGAGCTCGGCTCCATGGACTCCAGAGGTAGTGGATTTCTCTAAGTCCTTTAATCATCTTCCTGCTGGGAAGAGCAAGAAGTTGTAAAGGTGCAGCAGTAATGCGATCTGTTCTCATCCTTCTAGGTACTGGAAACTGGATCCCAGCAAAGTATACTCCACCGGTCCCAATGCTTGGGACACAGCCGTACACGATGCCTCGGAGGAGTACAAGCACCGAATGGTACGGCTCCGGCGCTGATGTCCTGTCTGTGTGTGGAGGAAAACCTCCCCAGTGTTTGGGTGCTTGCTGCAGGAGTGGGACCTGTGGGTCTGCACCAGCACACAGGGTGCAGAACTGGGGAGCCTCAAGGACAGGATTTCTGATCCCACGCCCCTTTTTCTGTTCCAGCACAACCTTTGCTGTGATAACTGCCATTCTCACGTGGCTCTGGCCTTAAACTTGATGAGATACGATAACAGCACCTCCTGGAACATGGTCAAACTCTGCTTCTTCTCACTCCTGTATGGGAAGTATGTAAGGTGAGCCGAGGAGAGGTCTAGATTCAGCAGGCAAAGGGCCTCTGTTTCATTCTTTCTAGCCCTCCAAAGCTTCAGACTGTCCCGTGGAGCAGGAAGAAACATCTCTCCCCCGCAACGTGTGGGTGTATGTTGCTGATAGGTGGTACTGTCACTGCCTGCTGCCTCTTCTCAGGAAAAGAACCAAGAGTGCTTGCTGGGTTGCACTAGGTGCTGCTCCTGAAATGCTGTATCTGGCAGCTAATTTAGGGTGCCTGGAATTTGGGAAATGCTAGCTAAAGCATATCTCACTCTGTGTTGTCTTTTGGCTGGGTTAGGTCAGAACATAAGGTCACAGAATGGCTTGTCTCCAAGGTCTGTTGGGTTCTCTTCTGTCTCTTGAATCTTGTTTACATAAAAACTAGTCAGATTTCCTTCCAACTGGCGTGGAGATTCCAACTTGAGCAGAGAGGGAAACCCCGAGCTTTCCTTACTAGAAAGGGCACTTAATCTCCATTTCAGCTCCTTGCGCCTGAAGAGGAGATTCTGCAAGGACTGCCCTGCATAAAGCTTTTGAGTTGCTCCACTTCTGTTGGGTCGTCCCTGTTCTGGAAAAGCTTCTCTACCAGCTTTTAGGCAAGTGTAGTCCCTGCTGTCTTGGTTAAATACACCAGCAGTTTGGTTAATGAGGCCTACGGTAACGGGGTTTCATTTTTTGTGATCTCCTGCCACTGCTTCTGTCTGTGCAGATATGAAATGTGCTAGTCTTTGACCGGAATTGAAGGTGGAAGGGGAGTCCAGCCCTATTGTTCATGGTACAGTTATTTGTGGACCTGATTTAGTCTCCATTTTTAACACGGAGTGGATCTCCAGGACATGCTTTATGGCAGTGCCACCAATGGATAAGAAAGTCAGAAGGGTGTCTGTCTCCCTCTGATTTCTCCAGTTATTCTCACATCCTTCTCTCCCTCTTGTCTTTCTCTGCTGATTTCTTACATTTAAACCCTCCCCCTTTTTTCCATCTTGCAGCATAGGGGGATTTGTGAAGACCTGGCTTCCCTTTGTCCTCTTCCTGGGGGTGATTGTGACCATTGTTCTGACGCTTCATTTGCGGTGATGGCAGCTGTGAACTCCCCATTCCATGGGCACACGAAGGAAGAAACTGTGACTGATCCAGCGAGATGGAGGCATGGGACTCTGGGAGGCGTTTTCTGGGGAAGGTGGCAACTCCACTCCATTGTAACAGCTCATCTTTGTTTCCTGGAACTGGCTTCTTTTCCTTCTGTTTTTGTTCTGTCGATGGTGTCTCCCAGTGTCAGGGGTCCTGAAGCCTCTTGCTCTCTCCCTGAATATGCTCCCTTTCTGCAATTTGGTGGGTAGAAACGCAGTCAGGAAAGGAGAGGCGTGGGCACCTTTGCTTTCAGTGCCAAGTAAAAAGACACAAGGCAAACCCTGCCTCCTGGGTCAGGAGCACAAGCAGATACACCTTGTAAGGTTCTCTCTGATCACCTGGTTTCTTCCTCTTGGCAGACATCATCAGATGCTTCCTCAGATTTCCTGAGTCTTCAAGAAGGAGCTGTTGTTTCCCTGTTGCATGACTCTCCTGTAGCACATTTTTCAAAGTGGAGGTGTGGGGTTCCTCCTGGGGATGTGGAGTGCCGCAGCACTCGCTGATGGTCTCCCCAGTAGTGACAGGAGGGTGTTGACGGCGGGACACTCCTCTGAGGAGGCACGCAGAGGAACGCTCTGTGGCAGGGCAAATACATCTGGTCCTGCTGGTGAGCCCAGAAAGGCAGGAAAGTCGATCGACTGGCTTGGGTACGGCTCGTGGCAGTCTGCACACCTTCAGTAGCCTGTTGCAGAGGTGGGAGTCTTCTGCTAAGTCCCTTTTAGCTTGTGCCAGAGAAAATACAGCTTCCCTGCTTCTCCTTGTGCTCTGAATATCTAAAATTGTCATTACACTTTCTCGTGAGCCACTTACTTCCCTTTGAGCCCTAGTCCTTTGTGTGTCACAGCATACCTGAGCTTGCAGAGGTGGTGGCAGCAGCAGGTACATGTTTCTGGGACGGGAGGCTTAGTGTAGGGTTTTGAAAGCATCCGTGAGAGCAGCACCTGAGACCTGAGCTCAGTGGGGCCATCAGAGATTAAAAGAAAGGGTGAAGGGACTGGAAAGCATCCATGTTCTGGTTGGGCTTTGCAGCAGCAAACCGGGGCACTGGCTTTTTTGCAGCTGTTTCCAGGGTGGTGAACAAGAAGGTCTGTTTGCTTCCTTGGCGTGCTTTGAAGAGCACACCGGGAGTAAAAGCAGGACTGGCTTTGACGTGAGAAATGCCGGTCTGGCAGCACCGGGGGCTGATGGCCCTTTTGAGCCCAGGATGGGTAATAGGGGGGTAGGTTGTTGTTGAGTGCTAGGCAGGGAGTGAATCTGGACATGCCCCAGAGCCTCTGCCAGGGCGAGAGGTCCAGGTCTGTGTTTGCTGGGGCTCTGGCCTGCAGATGCTGCATTCTGTGGGGCTCTGAGCCAAGTGGCTTTTTAGAAAAAATGTGGCTGAAGGGCCATGTGCAGTTGAGCAGATCTCCTCTGACTGCGGAGGAAGGAGAATAGCTTTTCCACTCCTGCCTTGAAAAGCCAACTCTGTACTCCACTACCTGATGGATTTCAACCGCAAGGAGTGCTCGTGGCCAGCAGGAAAGCTCTTCCCCACTGCCTGCTGTCCCTGCGGCCTCCTCTGACCGGGCAGCCCATTCACTGTCACCCTGCTGCCTCTCAGACCCGTCTCCGTGTGCCTTTCCATCCGCTTCCATCCCCCCGACTCCTCTAGCCACGTGGGAGGGTTGGGGACTCCTCTTGGGCTTCTCGATTTCTGCATTTCCTCCTTTTCCTCAGTCACTTTTAAACAGCCCCTTGAACCTCTCCCTTCTCCCTGGCATCCAGTTGTCTCTGTCGTCTGGTGCTGGCTTTTCTGGGGTGGGCGGAGGAGGCGTGCAGACCTTGGCGCCCTTCCCCATCTGCCTGGAACTGAAATAGTTGTCGGTGTCTGCTCTGTACAGTCATTTCAAGCCTGCGCGGAGAGCAGGCTGGAGAGCGCTGGGCCTGGGGCTGATTAGAAAGCCAATATTTTGGTCAAAGAGAACCTTACAATGAAAGGATGGCATCTTACTGAGCTACCCTGTGTTGCTGCGGTCTCCACCCAGCGAGCCCGCTGGCTAACGTGCCCTAGGACAAGCCAGTTGAACAGGAGAGATTAGTCCTTTGCCGCTGTTTTTAATTTAAGTATGATTTCTCAGAGTGACCTGCCAAGGATGCGCTCGGAGTCCCTGGCCCCAGGGCTGAAGCTAACCTGTCTTAAGCAGTAGCAATAACCTAGAGACTCTTAGGCCTGTCTCACACGTTGATTCAGTGTTTTATCGATAAGCTATACAAGCATTGCCAAAGCTGAGACTTCGAGTTGTTGGGGGAGGCCGGGAGCAGGGCTGCTGGCCATAGTCCTCACTCCTGGGACTTCTGAAAACATGTTGAGTGCCATTCCCCACCGTGAAAATCCTTGTCGTTTGCTCCTAACGCTTTTTACCAGATACGGGTTCTGAATGGAGACTTACTGAGCAGCAGCAAAGAGCCTCATGGCTGGAGCGCTGGCTGCGGGGGAAGGAAGGCAGCGCTTCGCCCAAGTCCTGGCTGAACAGCCGACCCGCTTCCACTGACAGATGGAGGATGGCTCCGGGCATCCGAAGGAAACACGGCGGACGGGAGAGCAAGGCCCAAAGCTGAGGTACCGCTGAGCCAGCCCGCACATCCGTGCTGGACATGCGAAGCTGTCTGTGCTCGCACGGTGAAGGACGGTGCCCGCAGAGGGCGGATGCTGGGAGAGGCGGGTGGGCTGGTCGGATTTACAGTTTTCCTACACTGCGGTAGCATCAGCCCAGCGCTGCGGGAGCACAGAGAAGCCCCGTCGGTGGTTGGCACAGCTTCCCAGCAGCACTGCAGCCGGCGGCTGCGGTTGTGTGGGGAGCGGGCTGCTTCCTCCTGGCGTGGGAGGTGGCAGAAGGGGGGTGGGTTAGGAATGTCCCCTCCTTGCAGCTTCCTTCATCTCACTACCGGCTTCCTTGCAGTGCCCCTGTTGACTAGCCACATGAAAGGTTCACCCTGTCCTTCACCTTCCAGATGCCGGTTTTATGCTCCTTTCCTTTCCCCTTTGCACGCGCTTGTGCTGCAGAGCTCCGTGGCATTGCCGTTGCTCTTTGGCGAGGGCGAGCCCTCGGTACCCTCATCCTTTGTTCTCTTGATCTCTGTGGGGCGCTGGATTACTTTGTAAATATTTAAACTCTGCTTCTGTGGTTTCATAATCCTGACGGTAGGGGAAATAAACTTATTTCTGTGGATGTCTCCAAGTGCCGCATCTCTTATTGTCGACTCTTTCCTCCTTCCAGCCAGCTGCAGGGGTGGCATTCCCCCCGCCCCGCTGAGCTCCGGCCCCTCTCCTGCCCCAAGGCAGCGTCTCTGGCTGTGTGCAGGAGCCGGACCCCGCAGCTCCCACGCCTTCTCCTTTATGAACTTGCCCTTTGCTCTGCTCCGGGGCAAAACTCACAGCCATGTTCTCAGCCCTGCTGTTGGGAAGGGGGGGTTTGGGGGCAGGGGGACCCAATTGTCACAGCGTGGGCAGCGTTTGCAGGCTTTAGTGCCAGGTCTCGAAGCTGGGGACCTGCCCAGGGTCTCTGCTATGTTTGGGAGGAGAAGGGGCCCTGCCTGCTCCTGCCCGCTCCTGCCCTTTGCTGATCCCGAAGCCTCTGCCTGGTCAGTGGAGCCCTGCCTGGCCCTGGGCCCTGGGGAGGAGGGTGCTTTTTTGGAAGATAAGCCCCCTCGTGCAGGTTGGTCCTGTTGAGCTGTTCCCTTTCCACAGTCCTGTCTCAGGCATCTCTTGGATGGGGTTTTTTGGAGGCTGGGGTCCTTTCCCCTGCCAGCACAGAGCCCCCCGTCTTCCCTTTCCCTGCAAGCTGTTGGGGAGGGGATGCGTGTGTGGGGCCTGGGGCTGCCGGGAGCAGCGGAGAGCAGAGTGGGATGCGAAGAGCCGGCCTCATTTTCCCCTCTCCCAGCAGGATACCGCTGCCTCAACTGGGAGTGAGGGAAGCTGGGCCTCCGAGCTGCGTAACGATTGCCAATGCAGTGGCCGATTTTCCGTTGCATCTGATATCCAGAGGCCAAAGCTGCGCAGTGGGGGAAGCAGATCAGCCTTAAAATTAGGTTGTGTAGAAGGCTCGGGGATTTAACGGTGCAGCCATCTTACAAGACACCACCTGGATCCTCTCCTGCTCAGCCCCTCGATCCAAACCACGCTGTTCCTGCGGCTGCGTTAGCTCCAGCCCCTGCTTTGGCTCCGGGGCTGCAAAACGGCAGCTGGGGGGATGGCAGGCAGCCTCCGAGTGGTTTATCCTGCACACGTCTGCCGCTGCAGCATGAGGTGAGGATGCAAAACCCCCCAGGAACGTGCTCTGCCCAGCGTGCGTGGCTCTGTACGGCTGTAACCGTCCTGCTGGGTCCCTGCTCGCCTCCCAAGCGTGGCAGGATTTTTCTAACCTGCTTCTGCTGCCCGGGGAGCTGCAGGGAATCTGGCTGGAGGTGCGCGGGAGCTGAGCCACACGGGTCAGGTCATGGTATTTGGGGATTATAGGGAAGCAGCCAGGCTGAATGTGCCAAGATAGTCACACTCGGGTGCCTGGGGTGCTTGCAGCTCTCCGGCCGCGGCAGGCGGCTGGGCTGTGCAAGCCCTGCTCCTCTCATTTTTCCCTCCTACCTCTCAGCATGGCCAGCCCAGTCCCGGGAGGGACGGAGGCTGCAAAGCGGGATGGCAGGATCCATCCCAACCTGCCAAATGGCCTGAACTGAATCATCAGAGTGACCTCGCTGCCTCCTGCCCTCTGCCCTTGCCCGGGAGGCAACCGATCCAGCCCGGCAGCCACGGTGCTGTGGCTTCTTCAGTGCAGGGAGTGGGGCTGGGGGTCCCTGACCTCCCCGCGGGGACGGGGGAGCAGATGCCCCATCGCCGGCTGTGCCGCCGCCACAGCGCTGGCACGGAGCCGCCTTTGAAGCAGGGTCACTTTGCTGCAGCTGGCCGGAGGGGA